AAAGAAAGTATCGTTAAAATCAATAAACTAGAATTTAAAAATAAACTGTTAGAGCAAGCCTTTTTATTCGAGGTAACTCTCAATCAGTATGCTTACGAAACACAAAACCTTATTGCCATTATAAATGCAGCACTGGATGGCAAGATCCACACCAGCGTAATTACCCCCAGAAAATTAATACAGGAGTTAAAAGAAATTAAAATCAACTTACCCATGGGAAACGACCTCCCGATAGAAGTAATACCTGAGTCCATGCCAAACCTTTTCAAAATCTCTGAAATAACGATTTTCGTGCAAAACGAGTACTTAATATTTTCTATTGAAATACCCTTGATTTCAAGTAAAGTATTAAATGTGTATCGAGTTGTTTCATTACCAATGATATATTCTACCAATACATTAATTTTAATTGAACCCGAAGTCGAATATTTGGTAATTAACAATGATAATGAGGAATTTTTCACTATGACAGGGAAACAGTGGGAATCATGTGTAAATTTAGACACTTACAAATTATGTAAAGGTGGTCAAACATTTCACCGCCGCTCGAGATCGAACGTTTGCGAAGTAGCACTTCTAACATATCAACCAATCCCAGAAACTTGCAAAATAAAATTTGTAACATTAACAACGGCCATTTGGGATAAGTTATTGGATTCCAATGCATGGTTATTTTACACACAACCAACTTTAATGACCATCAAATGTGTGGAACCTCCACAAATAGTAACATTTCAGATCTCAGGCGTAGGAAGGTTGACCACCTCCCAAGATTGTGAAATCCATACAGAAAATTCCATTATATTTCCGACCAGTAGATCTAATAGAGGTATCTATACTGATTTAATTCCAGAAAGCAAAAAACAGGAATCAGTATTATCAGAGAGTCTTAAAAATATAATTCCCCAGAACCTAAAAGACATAAGTATCGTACACGATTTTAATTCTTTATCCAAAAGGTTAATAGAAATAAGTAAGTTACCAAAGGTAACAACAAAGTCTCTAATAATATTTCAAATGGAATTTCATATGGTACTTGTGTATATCTTAATGTTAACTATAATATCCGTAGTTAGTGGATTAGCTATTAAGTTTAGAAACCGCATAATTAGAATGTACTCTCCGGATTTACCGGATATTTTATCACTGAATAATAAGTAAACATTATAATCATAAATTTAGTTATGAAAACATATTGTACGGAACATTAGGGAACCATTAGGTCCCTAAGTTCCATTTAAGTTGGGGGGTGTTAAGAACCCCTGGCTAATTTAGTTAGTATATATATATAATAGTGTATAAGATAGTATTGTACGACGGCGACTGTCTGGAATTGCTGCGACAGCAATTCCAGGCAAGCGCTGGCTACAGGCACGGCTCGTATAGCAAGCCGTGCCAGTGGCATTTCAGAGCAGTAGACGGAACCTTGTAATTCGCGCCAGAGCATTATTATTGTCAGACCATTTTTTTATTTAAGTGTATTGTAAGTTTTTTTTCTTTTCAAGTAATATAGAAAGTAACAGATAGTTCGAAAGTGTTCGTTGTTTTATTTGTGCACGGACCTCCAAGGAGATCCGTAACACTGTAAACTGTGTTTTGACCGATATAATACACCCTATCAACCCCCCCTAAATAGGTATTGGGTAGTAGATTAGTGGAAAAGTCTTATAATTGAGGTGGCAACTAAAATATAAAATTTAATTTTCAAATTTTATAGAATTGCAGAAAATTTGAAAAATCGCGAGCAGGCCCCTTAAATAAATTAAATTAAATACCTACTTTGTTTAAAATTTAAACTGTAAAATGCAAATAAAATAAGGTGTATGGCCAGTGAAAATTGTTATTTAATTTTGTGGCCCTTGACACCAAAAAGGTTGCCGACGCCTGCATTACAGTGACCCATTTGTATCCTACTGTACAGCAGAGCGACACCCACTTGCTCACTTTTTTTTTTATTTGTACATAGGTAACATTTAATAATTTTTACATAGATAAACATCAGAAACTTATTGAAATAGAAACTACTAATTAATAATTATTTATTGTAAGTAGGTAGTTATTATTATATTGAATATTGCTGTAATGAGATTTTCTTTTAAATTTTTAAACACAAATGACCCGTGATCAGTGGCGGCTATCCTATACTCAAGGTGTATCCGTCGATACACCTTAAAATTGGGTGGGTGGATGGTAAATTATTGGTCATAGGCGTGCGCAGCCTCCGGTTTCAGGGGCAGCAAGAGATTAATTCGGCCCATTTTTCAAATTCACCATTAAAACCTGCCCATAGTTTTACTTTTTTTACTATTGGATATAAAAATTAAAATTGTATTGGTTATTTGTTTTTTTGGATAAAAGGTTGTACAGTAAGGTACTAAGCCACTAAAGGTGTACTTTTCTACAAGCATATATATAAAATATTTATCTATAGTTTATCAAAACAAAAAAAATCCTTTGTGAAAATATAATTTTACCGAGGCCCATTATTTAATATTTGCCGGCCCCGGTGGCCCCAAAGTAAGTCCAGAGGCAGCATATGCTGCCTCTGCTGCCCCCGTGCGCACGCCTATGTTATTGGTTAGGCACTATTGGTCTGGCTACTATTGTATACCAGAGTTGGTGGGTGGGTAACTAAATTTAAAATTTGATACACCTTTATTTTGGTAGATAGCCGCCACTGCCCGTGATTGGTACGAAGAATGGAATCACATCGACTAAAACTTATATGTAAAAAAAAGTTGTTCTATTTAGTCAAGAATAATCCGAATCTTGGACATATTGACAAGTGACAACCTATCAATTTGGACTCAAGGTTAAAAACATGCAAATGCATTGAAATCCTAGGCCTATAAATAACTTATGTCTATTGAGTATTTCATATTTGACTCACAAAAAATTTGGAAAAAATATTAACAGGACGCTAAAATTCTCCAGAGTACCTAGCAGCTACACCGACATTTATTGTCTCTGTCTTGCAAGTGCCCGTAACATAGCAAATTTTATGCACAGCCGATCACGTTTAGCTCCGTTAGTTAGGTACCTCTTGTAAAATTTAAAGGTAAGATTATTATACAGGTCATCTCATTGGCTTTTTATTCTATTTTAATTGTAAAGCGGGTTATGAGTATTTTAAAATTGTTAATTGTATGTACATCTTAAAATACTAATAACAAGTTATAAAATAAAAATATAACAAAAAGCCTATGAGATATTGAGAGTTTGAGACGTCCTAGATAATATAATCTTACCTTTAAACTGTACAAGGTTTAAATTCACTCTAATTGTATACTAGGTACTTTAAAGTTTAAACTATTATTAGGTAAATTAATCATTCTCTAACGCTCAAATCTATATTGCTATAAAATACATAAGTTGTTTTAATTTCAAACAGCATAATACATTAATATTATACAATACCTACGGTTAATGAAATAATTTCAATTTTAAAAGTCAAAGGAACCAATTTCTGACCACAACATTTTGGCGCCCCCAAAATACTATCGCCCGGGGAAGTTGTAACCAGTACTACCCCCCTAAATTCAGCCCTGCCGGTGCCCTGTGGTACAAGTTTAAATTTCATTATTTAAAATCTGAATTTCGTAACATTCCTCTTACTCAGAAGCGTAGCAAAGGGGGGCTAACCGGCTCTATCCCCCCTATTAACCGTGTTTATTTTAGCTATATTATAATATTAGATAATATATTATATAAAAAAATGATTTTACAAAAACCCATACAAAAATTCCAGGCCAACTCTAATAATACTTAATAAGGCTGATTCCACCAATAAAGAACCGATACCACTAGCTACCAATTTTTACCTGAGATCACCTTGCAGGTTACCTACCTACTCCTTTAAATAAAATGTATAATAAATAGGTAACTAACTCAAAAACTTATCGTTCGAATTTTGATTCCTACGAAATGTCACAGTAGAAAGAAAAGGGATTCATTTCAAAATCAAGTTTGTATCTCCGCAGAACACTCCTTCAGAAGGTAATACAAACAGTTTCAAGAATTTGAAAATATGGTTTAAAATTTAAAGCACCTAAACATTTAAAAATAAAATTTTGAATAACTGTATTAGTGTTATAAAATTGAGAAAAAATTTGAGAATGCTTAGTAAATCACTCTGTATACCAATAATTTCAGCTGTAGGTTACTGTAACAATTCGATACCTAATTCATCAATATTAAATATTAGGTAGGCACTAGTTGATCCTGCACAGCATTGACCATGACAAATTAAAAATAATGCCTGTGGACCTACCCTGCCTTAAACTCCGTTAAATACTTAAATGTATGCTACCTACACATATTTTTTAAAACCGTCATTTGGACCATAATATGTAAAATACAGGTCCAAAATGATATCTAGGTAATTGACCAATTTATTATAACTTTTTATTTTCTGTAACGAATGGCTAATCAGCCTAATAAATATCCACTTTTTGTGAACCAATAAATCTGTGTGAGCCAGCCTCTATTTATTCTTTAAAATTCAAAATTCAAATAATTTGATTCGAGGTCATTGGTTACCTATATTATAATTATCCGTGTAACAATTTTCAAAACCATGATTGAACCATTTCAAACACACACACACACACACAAACTAACATTGTCTTTTTTAGATAGATGATATCTAGAGAAATATAAAAAATCATTTTAAAAGCAAACACATTTAATTTAATTAAGTTTCAAAGATTTTATGAATATTTTTGATTTTTGCAAGTTCCAAAATTAAAAGAGTAATAATATTATTACGACATTTAAACTTAGTTAACAAATTTGAACTTCTTATTAATATCATACTTTGTTAATACAAATAATTGTACTGTTTATGGTCATATACTAATAAAGCAATTTAATGAAAATTTACCCACAAATTAAGAAGTTAAAAAATCTTAACTAACCTTTTGCATTTTTTCCTATAAGAGTATAATATAGTATTGTGTCTACAATTGTAACAAAAATAAATGGTTTTAAAAATTAAACAGACACATTGAAGAGGATCTTGGACTTCCGGACTTAGATGATAGTAATTTAACAGATGAAGAATTGGAATTTAGATATTTCATGTGGGTAACATACACAAATAATAAATAATATTTTTTATAGAATTAATTAATAAATTTACTAATTGTATAGTGCTCATGACTATGATAAAAACACAATGCTTGATGGATTAGAACTAATGTCTGCATTTGCTCATAACATGGAAAATTATGGGGATACGGAAACAAAAATATCAAATTTAGAAAATTATACAGGTAAAGTATTTATTTAGTTACAAATAAAACATACTAAAACTTTTTTTAGATTTAGTTGATCAAATACTGTATGATGATGATACAAACTATGATGGATTTCTCAGCTACACTGAATATGTGATTGCCAAGAACAAGCATTTACAAAATGCATAAAACATTAAAATATATTACTTTCTTAAAATGTATTGTTTATTGTAAGTTAAGTATTATTTCTAACATAAATTTTAATATGCATGTTATGTTTCTTTGAATAACTAATTAGAAGCTGTCGTAATATTTTTTGAAGTAATTAATAATCCTCGTTCCCATAAATCATTCACAAGCTGCATAACCTGAAACATAATTGTATACATAAGTGTTATATACGTTTAAAATGAATAATTATTATAAAACAATTTGTTTTATTTGTATTTACATGAAAAAAAAATTATAAAATTTAAATTTAATGTATAACACTTAACTAGATTATTATATTAATCCTTAAATCATATATAGTTATATGATCCAAGTATTAGTTTTTGATAAGTCACAACTTGTTATGTTTGTATTTCATATTAGTATTATGATATATTATATTATATGTTATGGTATAAGTACAAATAACGTTAGAAACCTAAGTTTTACAGAATACTACTGTTAAATATCCAAATGTTAAGCTATTACTGATTAATATTGGTTAAGTCTAGGATATGATACATTTATACAAAAAAGTTTGGTCAAACCTCAAATGATTATATTGTGGACTGTCATAGGGTTATTTCTTTATTTCCAAGTAAAAATATTTAATATTAGGATAAACAATGTATATAAAATGGTAAATATAAGAAAAATATGAGTTATACAAATCGGTTTGTACTTAAATTGAACTAGTAAAAATTAAACATAATAAATATAAACCAAAAAATAAAATGTCTAAATCAGAACAAAAGGGATATTAGTAAATTGTTCTATAAATTGTATTTTAAAACCATAGATAATAAAAACATGGATAGGACATAACATATTCATTATGTGTTAATAACTTAATCTTGGTCCAACATTAATGAGAAATTGAGGCCGTTTGTTTACATTTTTATACGCTTGATTATATGCTTTGTAAGAAGCATCATAATTCATAAATATAATATAACTAATAATATGAAAACAAACAAATAACTATCACTCTTTTTTGTAACTTAATTAATATTAACCTGTTCGTTGTCATCGCATAACTCAGATACTTTAATAAATGATGGATACATATTAAACAGTTTCTTTACAAATAATCCCATTTCATCTGGTATGACAACAAATTGACAATCGTTACCATGTAATTGTTTAGAATTATCAAGGTTATAATATAATCTTAACTCGTTTGTCATTCGATCAGTTTCTTCATCCAACATGCTTTCTTCAACCAGCCTACAATGGTAACATTTTATTATTATTTATTGCAATACATAACACATGTAAACACAATAAGCTAAAAGAGTATTAGATACTTTTCATAATCAAATGTTAAATAAAATATCCAAGCATTGTTATGACTTTCATCAAAATGAAAAATAAATGTTTAATTTAATATTAATAATACATTAAACATAATCCCATCAATAAAAATAAGAAACTAAGGGCCAGTCGTACCGTCTACGGTTAAACTACGATTAAGCTTAATCAGCTGATAACAGATATTTAACCGGGAAAAATCGGACGGTTAAACTCCGGTTAACATTAATCCGAGATGGTACAACTGGCTCTAAGTATCTGATACAATAATATAAAAATGAAAAACATTTTTAATATAACCAATAGATTTAAAATATTTTGAATGATATGTGTCTTACCTAAAGCAATTTCTACGAATAAGTTTAACTTCAGCAATTTCAAGGTTTACCTCATCTCCTGTGGTTTTTCCACCAGGTAACATCTTTGTACCGTTAGCAACTGTCCGTAGCATTTCAACTATAAACATATTATGTTTGATTTAAATATGACTTATAATGCACAATTTCAACTTTTGACTTGGGAGGGTTGAATATATTAAAGGTAATCGATACCGCTTAAGACCATTGCAATATAGCATTTTAAAATTGTATGACCTTGGTTTTTGGTTTTTGGGAGGGCTATGGCTAAGTACCTGGGGGCTTGGCCCCCCAAGCCTTCTCAATTTGCGCCTATGGACTTATAGCACAGAACAATAAGTGAAAATGTTGGAAGATTTAGAATGTATTGTGCCACAATTGTGTCTATTTGTATGTATGTGTGTGGGTTTGTTTGATTATATTTAATTAGCTTTTTAATGGCAAACAAATATTATTTTATAGTTTCATTGCAACCCAATTATTTAGGCGAGTAGATTGGGTTACACTGTAATTTTATTTGACTAGAAATATAGTTAATATTTATTTATATTTTTTTATCTTTGTTAATACGATTCACATTATCAATAAGCTCTTCCCAATTTTTAATAATAAGTAAATTACCATTGCATATTGATGGTGGCAATGAATTTGTGTAATAATTTTTCAATGAAAACATATCAATAGCATGATCAAGGTCTAAGTGATTTTTTAAGTTTTTTATAAGTTGCTTGATTTCACTTTCAAATCGTCGTCTTTGAACAGTATGAGGAAGTGATTTTTCTGATTCACATAATCCTCCAAAATGTTGGTATCCAACAGGCAATCCAAGTCTATAGGATATATCATTCTTCACAGCATTATTTAAAGAATTATTAACCACCTAAAAATAACAATTAATTAATATTTCTAAAAAAATAGGTAATATTAGAAAATATTTATTTATTAAACATTTTAAAGATGAAAAAAAGATACAAAATAAAAGTAATTAGTTTTAACAGATTCTAAATAATTACTTTAAAAAAAAAAACACAGAAACATAGAGCCCCAAAAGATACTAATTGTAATTTGTAAGATTATGAACAAAATAAATATAAATAATTTCCTTTCATTTAATGTGTATAAGTTGATAAATTGATAAGTTTAAATTAAAAATTGAAAATCGAAAACTCAAATCTACATCAATTTCAAAAGATAAGCTCCAATCATATTAATATCTAAAAATGTATTATTTATAATTAATTAGAAGAAACAATATTATTAAAAAAAAAAAAAAGTGAAGTAATAGGTAGTAACTAATTTCAACTTCTTACCACTTTAAGAAAATCATACATAGAATTTTGTTGATATGATGAAAATGTTAAATGTAAAGAATGTGTCTCTGTAAATAAAGTATCAGCTTGATGAATGTATCCTCTAGGCATGTACAAAAAATCTCCAGGTCTTAATATTACATCAAGGATTGGTTCTCCTATTTCATCTTGATGAAAGTTTCGGCTTGAAGTCCTTGGCAGGGTTTCAAATAGACTCCTAAAAATAAAATAGTATGAAACAATTTATAATCAACTATGAATGCCTAAAATCATTTACCTTGGTTTATAAACCCTCCAATGTTTTTCACCGTCTACTTGCACAACAAATGCTTCAATATCATCGTAGTGAGGAGCAAAACCTTGAGAAAATGGTGGTGTAAGGTAAACATTACAACCGACTAATGAGCCGAAATATTCTTGTAGATTAGCCATGAATTTATAAATTTCTGGAGCGAATAGCTGAGGGTTCAGTAACCGGACACTACATCCATTGTTGTAATAATCCCAAACAACATGAGGATGAGCTCGGCCAACTGGATTATGTGTTTCACGGACATTGTCTGTATAAGATGTAATATCTACATTTGTCCCATATTGAAGGTTATTTTCACGAAGAATGGTATCAAGTTCAGTAAGAGAGAACATTTGTGAAAAGTAATTAGGACTGTTTCTTGGCACATGCAGGATGGTTTTTTCCCAATAATAACTGAAAAACAATAAATTTTAATCCAGTTATAAGATAAAATTATACAATCCTTAAAAATTCAATTGTCAGTTAAACCAAAAAATAGTTAGGTATTATATAAATTTCACATTACCGAAGTATCATAAAATATTAACACAAGTAAAGAGGATATATTATTATTATTATTATTACACATGGGTGTATTATGATATACATATAATATACATATTATGTATATGAAATTGCATACACAACACTTACCTCATAAAATCGTCAATACCGTTTGGATGTATTAGCCATTCCATTAATTTTTGCCCAGTTTCGGAAGAATCTTTTAAGTTAAAGTTATAAATATTATTCAAAACATGGATACTGGTTTTTTTTGGATTCTCATCACCATTTTCAGTCTTAGTAATTTTAACTGGAGTTTTTTTTAATTTCTTCTTGTTTTTACGTTTACGGTTCACATTGTCCTCGGTAATACTCTTCTTGGCGTAGTACTCGAATGCAGACATAATTACGGTTCAAAATCACTCAATGACTGATGTTTTTTTTAATTGCGATTCCAGTTCTAAAAAATGAATCCTTTAAATAGTATTAACGAACAATGTACAATAATATTATAATATATTATAATCCACACAAGTAAGTAAGTACATTCGTCCAAAAAGTTACAACTTGCAAGTTACGATGGACTACAATCCATTTTGTTTATTATAGGTAATGTATGGAAGTATTAAATTATTGTTGCAATTTAGCAGAACCAGACAACACACGTACTTGTCATTACTTACTATTGACTATTGAGTAATGAATGATCAACGATCAACGAGTTACTTATTAGTTATTATTATCATAGAACAATATTATATAGTGGACTGTTGACTGTTGACAGAAAAGTTGTTATATTATTTTGTTCATGTTGTTGTGTTTTTTCCTCGCCATGAAATTTCGGGAAGAGTACCTGATGTCTGTGAAGTTAGCTCCCGGACGTTTAGCAGTTATCAATTCTGATAAGGTAGGTAACCGTATTCCTGTATACTATATTGCCTATTCATATCTTACTAGGAGTCTTAACAAAAATATTTATTTTTCAGATATACCTACCTAATTCAAGATGGAAGAATGATAATTATTATAATTATTAAGATTATAATATTATTAAATATTAATAAGTGACATGTCATACTATATTAATGCAATTAATAAAACAAACAAAATTCTGAACTACCTAGTATGAATATAATTCCATAAAAATTGATAGTAATTAAAATTTTTTTTTGCAAATATTGGATTTCATAAACAGCTATTGTTTTTACTATTTTGAGTAAATATATACTGCAAGTGACATACATCTTATAATGTAAATATAGGCATCAATAGACAAAAATATTGTACCAAAATGAGAATAGAAAACCCTAAACCTACAATTATTACAAAAAGTATTAAGATCTTCTACAGGTGCATTCCAAACAGTCAAATCAAATCAGCTTTAAGGAAAAAATTTATATTATCCGACAATAACCCACCAACGGTCTATAATATTATTCGAAACTAATTTAACATTTGATAAAACTACAGGGTCAACAATGGGGAACGAGCTTAAACATTTAATCATAGAATGAATAACAATTAACTAGATTATATATATTTATGTGTTAAAGACCTCGCATAATGATCTTAAATTAATAATTATCAAACTTTTACAAAAAGCTTTTAAAAAATAACATTTAGTATTCTTGGAATAACTTGATAACAAATATTTTTGAATACAATTGTATGTCCCAATACTGCCAGTACACATAAAAAAGGGGATATATCATTAATTGTTCAATACCCTGTTAATGAACATTATAAATAACAATCCTCCTTAGTTATTAAAAGTTAAAACAAATCCAATTTAACACCCCACATAATTTAGTAGACACAATAAGGATGATTCTACTATAAAGAACATTTTGGAGGGACGACTCAGCATGAAAAACAAAATGTATGTACACCGAATTATATTTAATTGAGCAGGCATCAAATAAAAATTCGGAATCTGTAGTTTTCCGAAAGGCCGAAAGGGCCACGGTAGACTTAAATTCCAGGATTATAAAACGATATCAACCATACAATATTTGCGATTTACGTGCCATGCGGCTGCAAAGTTGGTCTAATAGGACGGCTTTTTCAAAACGAACACGGAAACTTATGTTTTACAGACCATTTTAAAGCGAAAGAGCATTCAGCATAGATTTGAAAATTGTAGTTTTTGGATGGGGCAATCAGGGGACTTAGAAGCGGCCTCTAGAAAAATAAAAGTATATACATATTATACGACTTTCATGACATACAGGCAAAGCTGCCACGGGTATACTTAGAACAGAATTTTCGAAATTACACCCAAAATGCTATTTGTCAAATCATTTTTAATCGAAAGAGCAACCAACGTAGATTCAAAATTTGTATATTTCGAAGGGGGCACTCGGGGGACTTGGGCTCCAGAAAAATAATAAGATTGCAACTATGTGATTTTTACGATACTGCCGTATTTCGACTGTGCGTTGTACTTAGAACGGCTTTTTCGAAACGAACACCCGAATTGCGAGTTGTCAAACCATTTTTAAACGAAAGGGCAACCAACGCAGATTCAAAATTTGTATATTTCGAAGGGGGCACTCAGGGGACTTGGGCTCCAGAAAAATAATAAGATTAAAACTATTAGATATTTATGAGTTTAGAGGCGAATTGGCTACGTGGTATACTTAGAAAAGATTTTTCGAAACGAACACCCAAATTGCGAGTTGTCAAACCATTTTTAAACGAAAGGGCAACCAACGCAGATTCAAAATTTGTATATTTCGAAGGTGGCACTCGGGGGACTTGGGCTCCAGAAAAATAATAAGATTAAAACTATTAGATATTTATGAGTTTAGAGGCGAATTGGCTACGTGGTATACTATTAGAAAAGATTTTTCGAAACGAACACCCAAATTGCGAGTTGTCAAACCATTTTTAAACGAAAGGGCAACCAACGCAGATTCAAAATTTGTATATTTCGAAGGGGGCACTCGGGGGACTTGGGCTCCAGAAAAATAATAAGACGGACCACCACGGACCTAACCTAACCTAACCTAACCTAACCTAAACCAAATTAATAATTTTTTTTAGTCATATATATAACATACATGTGTATATATAAAAATATGTAAAATAAAATGTTTTTTTATTGCTTATTAATAAATATAATACATTTTTTCATGTAGATAAAAATATAAGATTTGTAATTTATACATATTTTATTGTTATTATTTAATTATATTTTGTTTATTTTGTTGTACATTTTGTATATTATCATGTGTATATATAAAAATATGTAAAATAAAATGTTTTTTTTTTATTGCTTATTAATAAATATAATACATTTTTATCATGTAGATAAAAATATAAGATTTGTAATTTATACATATTTTATTGTTATTATTTAATTATATTTTGTTTATTTTGTTGTACATTTTGTATATTATCATGTGTATATACTATATATTATAAAAAGGTGGGTAAGTGGATGTCGCTCTGCTGTACAGTAGGTTACAAGTGGGTCACTGTATAATGGATGGTATTAAATTTGAATTCAATGATAAAATATCATTGTATAAGAAAACGATTCTGAGCGAAGACGGTATGTCAGTCTAGGTTTGAGACATTATATACATATCTATGGTATTAAAAAAAAAAAGACCTATAATAAATTCCAAATTAATCATATCACAATATCCACTAGGTACTTATAACACGTTATACATCAATAACAAACCCTTATACTATCATTGATATATAATATAGTGTACTTTAGAAGTTTCAAGTACCCACGAATAGTATTATACACTCACAACAAAATGACTAAAATAGGTATGCTAGGTTTTTAATATGTAATTTCGTCCCAAATTTGAACTTAAAATGTCTGTAAAAAATAACTGTGCTCATATATTTTTTAGATTTTTTGGCTACAGTATGAACTATTTATGAGAATCTTTTTTTTAAATTTTCAATCTTTAGCTATAAAAACTGAACATTTTATAATTTATTAATTACGATGGTTGATAATTTTCGAGATTTTGATAAATTTTGTCAAAATGCGATCTTTAAATGCTTATAAAAAAAAATTGTGCCTATGTATTTTTAATATTTTTCAATTGCTATTGTAACAATATATCAGGGGCCTTGTATTAATTTTTCACACTTTTTGGCCCAACAGATAAAACTTTATTAATATTTATAGAAAAAAAAAAACTAAAAAAATTGAAAACTGAAAATGTCCGTAAACGGCTCAAAAAGAGTCAAAATATTTTCAAAATTGTATGGTGTATACGAAATGCTAATATAAACATTCAGTGAAATTTTCATGTATGTACAGTAATTCGTTTTTGAATTACAACAAAATAAGGAAATCGCCACATGAGAAATCGAGTGAATATCCAATGTTGTAAAAATTTGAATTTCAAACGCTCATAAAAATTTAATTTGACTTTCTTATAGAATTTTTTTTTTTTGATAAATGTAGGAAATCTTATAAGGAATCTTGTATTACATTTTTATATCTTAGATTTAAAAAGAAAAATTTTTATGAATTTCTAACTCGAAATAATTTGCAAATTTTCGTGATTTTTCCATATTTTGTCATTTTTTGAACTTTAAATGCTTGAAAAAAAAAACTGTGACTAACGATTTTTAATATTTTTCATCTGTCTTTGAAACAATATAGTAGGAGCCTTGTATTAAATTTTCAAGTATTTTTACTCAACAAATAAATTTTTATTGATATTCATAAAAAAAAAAACTAATAAAATTGGAAACTGAAAATGTCCCTAAACAGTTCAAAATAAATCAAAATATTTTGAAAATGTTATCGTGTATAGAAAATGCAAATATAAACAACCACTGAAAATTTCATGTATCTACGGTTATTTGTTTTAAAGTTACACCAAAAACCAAAATCGATTTTTTGGAAAACCGATTTTGCGTAAAAATTCCCGTTTTTCCTTAATTTTTATTTTGTTTTTCCCGGCGCTTTTGAAAACTACTGTGAAATTTAAATTTTGACCTCCCCAATGCACCAACGATATTCACTTTCCAATCGAACAAGATACTGAAGTTGAAAATCGAAGCATTATTTCGACTACTTATCGTGTACAAAGGCAGATGAAAAATATTAAAAATCCTTAGTCACAATTTTTTTTTATAAGCATTTAAAGTTCAAAAATTGACAAAATATGGAAAAATCACGAAAATTAGCAAATTATTTTGAGTTAAGAATTCGTTAAAATTTTTCTTTTTAAATCTAAGATTTGAAAATGTAATACAAGATTACTTATAAGTTTGTCTACCTTTATCAATAAAAAAATCTCTACCGGAAAGTCAAATTAAATTTTTATGAGCGTTTGAAATTCAAATTTTTACAACATTGGATATTCACTGGATTTCTCATGTAGCGATTTCCTTATTTTGTTGTAATTCAAAAACGAATAACTGTAGGTACATGAAAATTTCACCCGCCGGGTACCGATGACATCCCGGACCTCCTGTGCGGGCCTGACTTCCATCTCCTGCCCGAGCGCGCAGAGGAGAAGTCAAGCCTACTCCACAACGCCGCCGAAGGATTCAGGCTGTTCTACAAGATGACCGAGGGCATCCTGTCACTGAAAGAAGAGGAAGAACGAGCAAGGCAAGCTCCTGTCCAGGCCGTCTAGAACACCGAGCAGTCCGTTGCCGCCCACCCGATATCTCCGCCCCCTTTTGGGCTGGGATGTTCGGGTTTGCGGGTCCACTTCCAGGGCCCCGAAAGCCGGACGGGAGGTAATGGAGGGGGCAAAATTTTCGCTCCCGAAGCCGTCACATGAAAACCGGCCGAGCTAGAACCGAAAAACCGGTAAAAAAACCCAGTCTCAACAAAGTGTCAATCGAATGTACGAATTGGCAGCCCGGAACGAGAGCACGCGCTCCCAATCTGGCAGCTAGTCATTACCGATGGGAGCAGACCACAGCAGCATCGGGTTCCAGCCAAGCAGAGCCCGGAAAACTGACACGCAGCCAAGCAGAGGCGAACGTCGCAAGAGGCAACCTAAAACCGCAAGTCGACGGTTTACCGTCTATTTTTCTATTGTATTCCTATGCATACACTGTACGTCCCCCGGGCCTCGCCCGCTGGCAGACACATACTTTACCAGCGATCGCTGTGGAAAGTCTGCTAGTTCGAGGGGACAAATTATGTTGTTATTGATGTATAATAATTAGTTGTTTTGTGTCAATAAACGATGGTGGCCGGAGGTGAAGTAATGCTAACGCGGTTCCGCCTCCGGTCCTCGATTCAACCGGGAAAAAAAAAAAAAAAAAAAAAAGGAACATGAAAATTTCACTGAATGTTCATATTAGCATTTCCTATACACTGTACAATTTTGAAAATATTTTGACTCTTTTTGAGCTGTTTATGGACATTTACAGCTTTCAATTTTTTTTAGTTTTTTTTTCTATAAATATCAATAAAGTTTTATCTGTTCGGCCAAAAAGTGAAAAAATGTAATACAAGGCTCCTGATATATTGTTACAGTAGCAATCGAAAAATATTAAAAATGATTATCAATCATTGTAATTAATAAATTATAAAATGTTCAGTTTTTTTAGCTAAGGATTTCAAATTTAAAACAAAGGTTCTCATAAATAGTTCATACTGTACACAAAAAATCTAAAAAATATATGAACACAGTTATTTTTTACAGACATTTTAAATTCAAATTTGGACGAAATTATAAATATTAAAATCAATATTAACGATCTTGGTTTTTTGTTGTAATTTAAAATATTATTCGGGAATATTAAAACTGAAAAATCAAAATATTATGGCCTATCCATACAATCTACCATAGTATAAGGAGTAAGAAGTATGCTCAATGATAAGACTGTGCATATTTTAAACTTTTAAAGGACAATGAAATATGAATAATTTATTCATAAATTCCATATAATTTAATATCATAGGTAAGTATAATATAATATGTCTTATACATAGACTGACACAGGGGCGATCCTAGAATTTATTTTTAGGGGGGTTTGGAGTGAATATTGCCGACTTTCAATGATAAATCTGCCGACTGTATACTTAATGTTATAATCAGTGGCGTACCCAGGATTTTAGAACTGTGGGTCCGCCTTACTTACGAGGGGCCACTGTGTAGAAACTTCAACCAACTATATAGTTAGGTATTACAAAGTCACTCTGGGCTCGCGATTTACCTTATTAGTTATTTACATCACATTTTGATACCAACGTTCAATATAACTATATCAAATATTTTTAAGTAAATTGTAAAATTTACTTACAAGCTTTAATAGCTATATTTAATTTATTTTTATTTGTTTACGTATATTTGCAGTATATTTATTTTATTTTAGTTTTCAATGACTGATTTCATTTTCACAAGAGATATAGAATAGGTGGTTCTAAATTCTAATACAATAGAAAAGTCAAAAATAATACATTAATAAAATTTATATTTAATACAGTAGAATCCGCTTAATTGGGACACATCGGGCGGTGACCTATTTGTCCCCATTATCCGACTGTCCCGATTAACCGAATAACTAATAAACCGAAATTATTAAAGTGCATATATACATACATAATAACTTTATTTAAAAAATACATACATACACACTTAATTAATACTTTATTTAAAAATTACATATGTATTATTAGCAGTTGTACATTATACATATTTACTATTTAGTATTATTATTATATTTCATTATTTTTCAATCGGTTTAGTACCGATTTAGACGTGCCTATTGATTTCTCTAACTCACGAAGACTATTATAAGGTTGAGCCTTAATTTTATCCAGTATAGACATTTTTTCAATCAATGTTAAATCTTTACGAGACATAATATTGTTACGTACTAACACAAACTGGGATTAATAAAAACGCACATACCTACATTAATAGACATCGACGAAAGAACGTGAACTAAAGGTTTTCGATTTTGTACGTAGGCTAGTTGACTCTTATCGTGGTAATAGAAAAAAAAATGATTGACATAATTGACGTAAGATATACGTATATTACCTGTATGTACATTATATGTACATATACGTGTGTGGGCGATTGTAAACTCCACCGATTTACAGGTAGTCGATTTTAGGGTTGGATTTATAACATGTAAATTCCACCGATACATTTTTTTTACCTGAAAAAAAAATGTAAACTCCACCGATACGTATTTTTGACCTGAAAACACGTAAACTCCACCGATGGTAAAATCCACAGATTAAAACTATATGTATAGTGTATACACATCAACTTTTGACTGACTTATCTTAAACTTCATCTTAAGAGGACGTCTCACCCGGATGTGTTGTCTCCGTCTTACACACCTACGACATAGCAAATTTTCGTTGAATACTTAATATGAATACTTAATATGAATACTTTACATACCCATAACTCACTTAAAAATTAAAATATCGTAAAAATCGTTTAGACTCTGAAGATGTTTCTAATTTTTTTGCAATAGAATTAATGTCTATAAAGCCCGAAAGCTCCAAATTAACAGAATTTGCAGATTATAATATTTTAGACACCCTCAAAGCTGCATCTAAACATTATCAAACCAAATTTTAAAACCAAACAAATTTTTTTAAAACCTAAATTTTCTTTAAGTAATTTTTTTTTTATTCATTTATTTTAATTAACATTTTTTTAACTACGAACTAGTGATCACTTTTAATTATTATTATATCATTTATTTTAATATTGTGTAAAAAAAGATATAAGTATCTAAATATAATATATATAAATAATAAATCTGTACATAAATTATGTAGGAACGTATTACCTATAACGTAATGTTAATAATTATAGATTTTTCTATTTTTTTCTATTTGATTTTTATATGATTTTTTTTTTAAATTATTGTTAATTAATAATTATATATTTTTCAATTTTCTATTTTTGCTATTTGATTTTTATATGATTTTTTTTTAAAAATGATTGTTAATTATTATTAATAATTATACGTGTTTACAGGTCAAAAATACGTATCGGTGGAGTTTACATTTTTTTTTCAGGTAAAAAAAATGTACCGGTGGAGTTTACATTTTTTTTTTCAGGTAAAAAAAACGTACCGGTGGAGTTTACATGAAAAAAGGTCTAAAAAGGTCGCAATCGGTGGAGTTTACATGCGCCCACGTGTGTATATAAAATATAATAGAGCCGTAAAGATTAGATAATTACAGTTTCGATAAGAAAGTAGATAATTTTGGCCAAAATATCTAGTTAAACAATTTTATTTTTGTCCCTTATAACCGATGGTTTGTCCCGGATAAACGAAGTTAAATTGCATTTAACTTATACATCGGTTCGGGACTATGACAATTTGTCCCCATTAAGCGGTTGTCCCCTTTATGCGGTGTCCCAAATAAGCGGATTCTACTGTAATACCTACATGAAAATAATAGTAAAGAACTAGAACATTACAATCATTTTCTGCGCTTTTTCATTAGTGCGAATTATGTACTTATTACGTTAACAAAATCAATGGTTTGAGCTATGTTGCTTTCTATGCTCAATATGGCCAAATTTGATAGCCGGTCTTCAGTCATAGTTGAGCTAAGGCATGTTTTGAGAAGTTTTAGAACACTAAAACTTCTTTCTGCAGTTGCACTGCTGACTGGTAGCGTATAAAAAATTTTATACAAAGTATATAAATTTGGATATGAAGAAACCATGTATCGTGATATCATGAATTTTCAATACATCATTTAATTTTAAAGGTCCAGTTACTCCAGTTTCAATAGTTTTGCCATTTGTTGGTAAACTAGAGGTAATGAACGGTATTCCACTTCTATATCAATTTCATCTATGTCAACTTCATAAAATCTTATATAATATCTATATCCAACATATTTTTATACTTGTGTTTATCGAATTTTAGGTACGTACATTATAAGTTGATAAGCTTAAACACGATTTCGTACGCGTTATTTTACTTCAATACTCATCAGTCTTCACAGCTGTATATACGATATACCCCTATATCATAATAGCAGATCTTCGATATTTTGAAGGGGGGGCACATATAAATTGTATAATTTTAATTTTAATTAATAATACATATACATACTATCAATAATGATTATAATAAGTAATAATTAATAGTTGGTAGTATTATCCTTATCAACTGAATGTTTCATTTATATGATACTCGTAGTTACAAATGTTACATAACAACTTGTCGACAGAAAATTGACAAGGGGCACGTGCCTCTCCTCTAAATTCACCACTGTACATAATTTTTTCAAATAAAAAAATGTTTATATAGTTTGCCATTTCGAGGGGCCACATTTAACTGGGAAAACAACTGTGGGTCAGCTGACCTCTCAAACCCCCCCCTGGGTCCGCCCCTGGTTATAATAATTACTTTTTCCTATTGTAATAAATTATATTGATCAAATAGTTATGAAATTGCATTTTTCTATTTATTCATTTTAATGCTGACCAAGAAATAAATTTGATTCATTATATTACACTGAATCAAAAAATACTATTTTTATTTATCATATTTTATGGGTTTTATTTGAAACGCATATAATAATATTTTAAGAACATAAATGCATACTTTCTTCATAAATGTACAGCAAATTTATAAGAATATTATTAAAATAGGTTACTAACCCAACCTACCCTAAACTCCTAAATTTTACTTTTATGTATCGAAATACTGTATCTAAATATTCTGCTTTCAAAGATGAAATTAAAACTTATATTTTTGAGATTTTTTGGTTACAGAATACTTACGTGCAACCTTGTTTTAAATGTTCAAACCTTATATAGCTATAAAAGTTGAATATTAATTCATACGGTTTAACTACAAAATCGTTTTTAAATCTGTCTGTGAACCAATATATTAGGATCTTTGTATTAAATCAAGCTTTTTTTACCCAAAAAATAACATTTTATTGACATTCAAAGAAAAAAAACTAAAAAAAAGGTGGGCAAGTGGGTGTCGCTCTTTTGTACAGTAGGTTACAAGTGGGTCACTGTATAATGGATGGTATTAAATTTGAATTCAATGATATAATATCATTGTATAAGAAAAACGATTCTGAGCGGTGATGGTATGTCAGTCTATGTATAAGACATATTATATACATATCTATTGTATAAAACAAAAAATTGACCTTTAATAGGTACCTATAATAAATTCCAAATTAATCATATCACAATA